GCTATCAGTGTCCAGCCATTCTCTGAGCTAAAATAAGTGACCTACACTATAGTGGTACAGAGCTACGTTTATAGCTTGACATCACCATGTTTATGTCAATGCCACAGAGACAGCTGACAGAAGTCAACAAATGCCAATGAGCAAGGTTATGGCCATCTTGGACTCAGGCTGGCCTTCAGCTGTCTCCATCAAACTTATGGCTTTCACACTAAAGACTTACACTGCAGTGGCTACCCAGCAGCAGATGGGTAATTCCATGCTGAGTACAGCACATGAGTTTTCTTTGATATTACAAGCTCATTTGAACTTACACATCCAACTTCCCTCCAAATTAACACTTGAAATGTCCATCAAAGCATGTTACAATTTTGTGAAGATCCAGTGTGGTCCCATTACTAAAAGGTGGCACCTTTTGTCTCATCTCAAACTCCTATTTTAATCCCGATTTTCAGAAAACAAAGGCACATGTTTATACCTTCAGCAGTCCCATGACTCAGCATAGCTATTGATTTCTTATGTGACAACCCATACACGTACAATCAGCAGAATCTAGGACGATGTAATAATTCTGGAAAAAATTCCACTCTTCACCTTACTAAGGATGTTTGGGGAAATAGCCTGGCAGTTTTACACAGGATAAATTAACACTGGAAAATAAGGTCCACTCAGCTACAGCTCTCTTTCTATTGCTAGATGTCTTTTCTTCAAACAGAACTTGGTTTGGAACTCCTTTGTGGGGCTGCAAGAACCCAGCTGGAATCTGGGGAACATCCTCGTTTTTCAAATTTATCACTTTCTGTAGAGCTAAACAGAATTTACTGAAGTGCCATATGCAGAAAAAAAATAATACTGGGAATATCATCTTCTTTGTTTCCTCCTGCCTCTGCCCTATCATTTTTTTCATATACCAGGCTGATCCTTTTTTTCTTGAGGGCAGTTATCATTTGCTTATAACCTTGCTTCTCTCCTAGCAACCTGATTAATATAAGCACATCTTTACTTTAGGTTCTGTATGTTCAAGATTAAGCAAACTGTTATAGATGTCCTAAAAATGGTTAAATAAATCATCTTTACTGCATTTTTCTGATTCATCCAGAGGGATTGTAACATCTCAGGCTGCCAAAACATGAGACAGGTCTCGAGGTTCCATTCATATCAATGGGAAATAAAATGTAATTTAGCAAAGACAAAAAGTGAGCTCGAAACCTTTCTAGTAGAAGAATCATTTGGATGATAAAGAGATGTGAACTGGGAATTCCTACAAGAGATAATTGAAGAAAGGAATGCTTTATCAAAGAAAATTTTTCATCTACTTCTTTATAAGAGGCTGGCAAAAACAAACCAAAGTATACTTTAAAGTGAACTCCCTATGATCTGTGATGTGAATTTTACTGTGTTCTCACTCAGTCGAGAGGTCTTTCACAATAGGCAAGATCTGGATTTTTAACTTTAAATCAAACAAGCAAATAAACAAAGTAACCAACCCAGAGGTTGTCTTTATACAAGAAGAGGAAGGTGTTGCTCATCTTTAGGTGAACAAAAAAGCACAAAGCTATGGGAAGCAAATATTCACCTGTATTCCAACGAACAAGGAACATGACATGTATCACATCAAAGGGCTGTAGATTTTTAAAGGGATTTCAGAATTCAGTGAGAACTTTTAATTGCATATACTGAGAACATTACACACTGCTTGAGACCACTAAAATTGCATGTATGTGTAAATGTTCTTAAGTGCAATGCTATGAGGGCATACCCTCTCTCTTTCCAGACAGAAGGCAAGAAGTACTAAGATAAATACTGGCCAGGGCACACTTTAGGATAGTGGTTTGGAAACGACATGGTGCACCTGGTGATCAGTAAAGTTCAGGACCTGAATGGAAATACACTGCTCCACTTTTAAGAGCTTCCAGTATCCTGGGACATAACGCAGTGCACACTAAGTAAAAAGCAAACTGAGCTCTCATGCCTTTTTCATAGCTTCCAAGTGGAGAAAGGCCAGACTCTCTTTCCTAGGGCTTTCCTTGGAACAAACACAGATGTCTGGCACAAACCATTCATTTGTGTTTTTACTGGATGCCAAGCTGAATCTTGGCTTTTCTTGCTTTCTCTTCAGCCATTCATCACACGGACAGTCAAGTAATTTCTCTCGCAAGAGCTCCTTTATCAGTTTAAGAACACCTGACCTCCCCTCACTCAGCTCACAAAACCGAGACGGGAAGCAAAGCGCAGAAGGAGATGCCTGTAATTTACAGGCTGCGCCCTGCAAGCCCTCGTACACGTGAGCAAGTCTATTCAGATGGGTAGTTCTGCCAGTTTCTGTCACAAAACTTTACTGCCCCTCTCCCCAAGATGAGGCGCGGAGCAGCCGTGAGCTCTCAGCCACCAACAGGCTGAGCGCAGAGGCTGGGCTGAGGCCTCTCAGCACCTAAATTTGAGTCTCACCAGCTGCAGTGGCAACAAAACCAGCCACTCAAACGGCCTCTTGCTGCCTTCAGAAGTGGGCATGGCCTCAGTCACTGACTTCTGTGTGCAAAATGTTTTAATTTTCTGGACCGAAAACTATTTCAGTTCAGAAACTGACTGGAGGAGAAGGAGCAAGGGGCAATGGCACCTGAAAAAAAGCAGACAGAAGCAGCATCTACTACCATGTTTTGTTCTGCCACTTGCAGTCCTCGTGTTAAAACAGAGAAAATAATAACTTCCACCAAACAGCGTGAAGGGAACTAAGAATTCACAAAGCTTTTCTGAATTCCCAAAGAAAAGCTGCTATATTTACTATTATAAAATGTGCAACGGTTACAATCAATTATAAGATCCTGAAATGTTAGTCAAAATATCTAAAAAAACCTGCATTCCCATTTTCAAAAGGATCCTAAGACTACATTCTGTATTTTAATATAGCAGACACCCAAAAAAATTGAATGCACATGAGTATGAGACTTAACTAGAAGTTCTTGCTAAGCACTAAGGATTGAAATGAAAGTGATAGAGCATTTACATGCAACAAAATGTAAGCAATCAGTATAATAATACTATCTTTTCCTTTTCTCTATCTTACTATTCACAGAACAAGAGCTGTGTTAACAATGTCAAAAAAGCAATTTGAAGAAATCTTTAATTAATCCTAAACATGACAAAATAATAAAATGATATTTCTAAGATTTTATTAAAACCTTCAAGTAAATTAGTACATTGAAATCCAGTTAAACATCTAAGCAGAGCTTAAAAGCTACTGCACATTTTAATAAAGGTCTTGCCAATATAGTGTAATTCTCTCTGCAGTATTTCAACATAATATTTTGATTACAAAATGTCTGAATTCTTCCTACAAGTCTGTGGAGAGTCAAAAGGCCTTGCTTCGATCCCATCCTCCCCATTCAGAAATCCATCCAGATAATTGGATTTTGAATGAAATTCCTGAAATTCCTCTGAAAAGGATTGAATTGTTATGTGGAACTGCAGACGAAATTTGAGATAATTGATGTTTATGTGTAGAAAACTTAAGCTGAGGCAGTTCATGTTTAGAGTGACAGAGGAGTAATCCTGAGTAGAAGTATGCCTGTTGAGTTAACACATTGCAAAAGCTCAGCTCTGATTAAACTTCTCCAGATTTTTATACAGGGCTAGCCTAAGAGGGCCCTTTAGGGGATAAAGCAAAACTGAAATTTGTCACAAAATGTCACTTCTCCTTGCATACCAAAAGGTGTGCTGCTAATTACAAACACAGTATTGGTGCAAGATTGTTTCCTATTTCCTCCTACATTTTGGATGAGTTTTAATATATATACAAGAGTGAAAAAATATGGAAATATTTTTCCTGAAAAAGCCCAGAGTGAGTTTCATCACTTTAAATCCCTTCTCCAGCCTTTATCGAGTGAAAAGAAAGAACTTCAGGTAAAAACATAAATCTACGGTCTACATCAGAGTATGACTGAATCCCTGAAACACTTCTCAGTTTGGACTATGGGAAAGAAAAATATAAATTATCAGAGCTTAAATGTCATAGAGTGCTAGAGTAGTGATGGCCAAGTTACAACAGTCTATGCCCCAAGCCACTTTACTATTAAATAAAATACCTTCACATTTTTATATTACTATCCCTTTCCAGAACACTTCAGTGTTTTGAAATTGTAAAGTCTTTGTTAATAGAGAAAAGGGTAGGAATTTTCCAGAGATGTCAGTGGAATGCAATAAATCTAAAATACTCTTCAAGAGTCATGTGCCAGGACATGCTAGTGTGCTATGGCTTCTAGTCCATAAGAAATTGCACCATGGTGCCTTCTCCTGCTGTACCTTCAGACTGAAGAATGACAATTTGGGATTCTCTTTCTGAGCCCAAAATAATGTAAAAGATGAAAAATATATTCAAGGAACAGTAGCACAAGCTTATCAAAGCACTCAGTCTGTTCGATTTTTTGTCAAATATATACTGACAATAATCTATAAAATGTGCATACAACAATACAGAATCAAAATGTTAACATTAAGCCAAAATACAGCAAGAATGTTCTCAAAACAAAACAAAAAAAAAACCACAACATTTTATTTCCATTCAGAACATTGATTAAACTGTTTTTTCCTACAAAATGTTCCTATTCAATCATATAAACATTTGAAATCGTCCATCCCAAACTATTTAAACTACTGCTAACAGTAAATGTACATGCGAAAGCTAAAGCAACATGCTGTCTTGCTACACTTACTTTATATAAAAGATACACATCTTTGCCAGCGACTTATTTCTTACTTTAACTCTTCCTGGAATGTGACTTGTCCAACAAAGCATAACTGCAGAGCTTTGAAGCAGAAGGAAAGAGAGGAAGCGAAAAATACTAAAATAGCTTGAAGGCACAGAAAATATGGTACTAAGGCCAATGGCACAATATCTGCACAATCCAGAAGATCAACAAGGCGCAGAAATATTTTCTCGCTGTGCAGGGGTGAGCTGGAAGCAATTAGGAAAAAAAAAAAAAACACCTCAGTACAGTGCTACTTACAAGTGTGAAGCAACAGTGACGACTAAAGCACGGTGAATCGGCGCCTGCCACGGCCAGCTGCCATTTCAAAAGCCGTGCTCCAATAGTGGTTTGTGGAAGGAAGCCTAAGATGGATAAATGCCTCCAGGAGCCCCAGGGAAATACAACTGCTCTACAGACATTAAAAATAGCAGCCTGAATTCTTGCTCTGACAACGCGGCTGGTGGAAAGGTCTTTGGCCCCAAGAAAGTTACAAACGGATACTAAAAACCCAGGAAGCCCCTTAAAGTCTCACCCTGGGCCAGCCGCACAGATCCCACAGGCACCCTGGCGAGAAACTGAATGCTGATGAGTAAACGCAAGAAGAGGGATACAGTTTGGGGATAAAATGGAAAATGAATTTGCTGTAGAGAAAACTCTGCTTGTCCTCCTTAATCCTCTGCAGATTGGAAATAATTGCAGTGATTCCATAAAGGGCTGTCACAGAGGGTGCAGTGGTTAGCTGGTCATGTCTTTGGTGGGTAGTGGTTCATATTAATAATGTTCCAGGCTTTCAAAAGCAGCCTGTATGTCTAAATCAATTAATTCCCGCAGCCTTTCCGTGCGGTAAGCAAGCAATGCTATCTCTTTTCTGAGATAAGGAAACCAGAGCGAACTGAAATCGTTACAAACAGGAATGTGAAGCAGACAGGATGAGGACCCCATATTTCTTTTGTTTAGAGCTGTGCTTTGAAGAATCTCTCCAGTCTGTTTCTCTCCTTTTATGTTACTCAGTGTTATCTGTTCAGATCTCAAAAGTGAGTTAAGCACCAGAAAATGTACAGAGCTGCTGAAACCCCACCAAAAAGGGCTCTGGAAGTCTTAAAAGCCCTACAAGGGCTTCCCTACAATAGAAGCATTTCATGCTTTGGCCTTGCCATTTAAAAAAGCTATCAGGTGATGTTTGCAAAGAAAAATGTGAAAAACATGCAAAATGCAAACTGTAATTTAGAATGAAAGCTGATGCTCAAGCGTGTAGCTCGGGTAGCTGAAACACTGAATAAAGCATTCAACATTGACAGTAATTCAATACTCGCTAACATTTTATCTGAGAAAAAAATTAAACTCGTTTGAAAAACTTGTCCTATTAATCCGCAAAATTACTTCAAGGGAGGGATTTTATTAAGGAGAAGGATCTGTGCGGCTGGCCCAGGGTAAGACTTTAAGGGCTTTCCCAGGTTTTTAGTATCCATTTGTAACCTGGGGCCAAAAGACCTTTCTGCTACCCTTCTGGAAGCAAGGTGAGATGTGTATTATGTGAGGGGACTAAGATTTATCCTGTTCCCTTTGAGTAGTATGATTTGATCAGCACTCCCACTGGACATGCCCATGCTTGCTCTTACAGTTTATCCACGGGTATCTTTACTAGAAAGCACAGTGGATAGAATCACAGCTCTACTGACACTAATGGCAAAAACTCCCAAGTATTTTGATGAGACGTGTGTGGTATTAATTTCCTGACTCACACTATTTTGGTCATTATTTGGGGGAAAATATCAAAATCTACACAATAATCTTTATGACCAGATGGGAAAACTATTACAATATAGGAAATACATCTGGTATGGGGTGTCCATGTATGCAGTCTATAAATCAGGGGCATTATAGAATGATTCTATATACTGTAGAGATATGTGAATTGCTGTAGAAGCAATCCAACTATGGTAGTACAGGTGTCTATCCTGACAAGTGAGTTTAAAACTAGCTCAGATCTCTCTGAGCTTTGTGCAACATGCCGTGAAGCCATTTTCTCACTGACAAAAGAATTTTACATTCAACCTCTTTTATCAGGATGATATGTAAGCTAAATTATAATGTAAACATAATTTGATGCTATAAGAAACACTTCTAATTTTATTTTATAAGAAAGAATTCTTATAGTGGCTTACTACAAATTCTTTTCACCTCTTTTTAATATCTATTCTGTGCTGGCAGTAGATAACTAGATTTTTTTGAATAGTAATAGGATTTACCAAAAATGTCTCTCAGCCCATCATGCATTATTTCTATTTTAAATCAGAGACCTACAGAAAGAAGTGAAAGATGAGGATGTGTTCCATACTTTAACAAAAAATCCATGCTAAAAGTATTGATAAAATAATAGGAGAAAAAAATAAATCAAGACATATCTCCAAAGGATATCACATAGGGTGTTTCACTGTTTCAATATAATATAAAAGAACAAGTTGGTACAGAGCCCAATTATTGCCTTGAGTGCAGCATCAATATTGCTCATGTCTTCAAATAACTTTCTGAATTTTCCAGTAAGTTCATAAAGCTAGAGCAGGCTGCCTATGAACTGATAAAGAACTTCACTTTCTGAGGCAAAATATGATGTCCACATCAGAAACAGCTGTGTTAGGAGGTTCTGACATATTCTTGTTGTCCCAAGGGTCATTTCTTGGTGAGGTACATTTGTTCCTATCACTGAAATGCCACAGGCAGAATCCATAGCTTGCACAGATGCTTTGTGCAGCATTGTCAGTGAGCAGCCTGGGCTTCCTAACCAGAATTAATGTCCTAATTTCAGGGGAACTATGCCATAAACAGCTACTTCCCCACAATGTGGCTCTGGAATCTTGTAGCCCAGAAGAGAGCTTAAACCTTTGTGCTGCTGAAGGTGGAGGTGAATCCAAGAAAGCAACACGTGTGTGTGTCAGCTAGGAAAACTCCAGAGGAGTTAGCATTGAAGAGAACCGTTCTTGGTGTCCTGATTTCATGCTTAATATTCTGATCTTTGATGTCACTAACTGCTGAAATTAGGAAGGACTGCCTCTCCAAGCTGCTGCTGACAAAGGATGAAATGTGACAGTTGCACAGCCCCGTAACAGAACAGCCAGTGCTGGCAGGAATTACATAGTCTATTGACTCTGTAGATAGCATTTAAACCACAAATACAAAAGCTTAGCATTAAATGGAACAAGGTACAGAGGTGGTGGTTTCAGCTAGGAACAGCCAAAGTGCATAGGATGAGACCCAAAGATATTATCTTAATTTCTCTGTCTGAATTGGCTTATGTGAAAGCTCTGGAAGGCCAAAATAAACCTATCACATCAATACTTCTGAAACTGTCACCTGGAACTTCTGAGTTCCCATTTTGGCTCTGACATTGATTCCCTTTGTGCCCTTGGCAAGGCAATAAGCAGCACCAAGTTACACCACCTGGATTCATGCTGCATAGCTCCTTATTCTGTAAACAGCCCTATATCCATTCCAACAGGAGACGATAATGAAGTGACATGTTACACCGCTTGAGCAAGAAGGGTTACAATCTGTTTTAATGTTTTTACTCATAAAAGCAAGACATTATAAGGATAATATATTGCCTTCCTGTTCCCAGTTGGGTTATGAGATTTAATCTTTTTCCAGTTCTTTGAAGATGTAAAGATTGACAAGGAAATAAGTATTTTTGGTAAGTTGTTTATATGCCACAAAGGCAGCAGAATCTGCAGAGATATTCTGCAAAATAACCTATTACCTTATTGTAATGTAGTTTTTCTTAAACAAGGTGTAGAATGTCTTGTCTAACTGTGTGTCAGAGGAGGAAGAATGGTGGGATTATTTCAGATGCTTCTCTACATGGTAGATCACAAACCAGCATATCGGGTTGGCAGCAACTTCCTTCTTATACTGGTTCTATCTCTTTTGTACCTGTCATTCGAACAGCCACTGCCTCTAGCTTTACCTCACTAATGTGCTACTATATCTGAAGCAACTAGAAAAAGATAAAGATTTTAGGGGACTTTAGTAACATCAAGTTTAAACTGTAGCGATAGTCCTGAATAGAAAAGGGAGTGTAGACCTTCTGGAGTGACATTCTCTGCTAGGTGAAACATATACATGGTAGAAGAACAGCACATAATTTTTCTTCTTTCCTAGGGCCTGAAAGCCTATGATGTACATTTGGCCAGCCTGCTTTCACCTAGCTCGTGTGCTTCTGAGATCTTATTTTCAGATAGCCGTATGTGTGGATGAACCCCCAAAGTGTTCTCTCAGATGGTTAAGAACAAGACCCCATGATGCCTCATGCAAACTCCAAAATATTAGCACTAAGAGATGCTCAGAGAGCACTTAAATCTGAGCTTTGAGAAGACAAGCAGGAATAATGGTTTTGACTACAGCTAGAGAAGGTCGGTTGCCAAATGCCCCTGCAAGGACAGGAGCCACCTCCAACTGATCGCATTCCTCCATTTCCTCTGTCAGGGGCCTCCCATGCACATCCCCAGTACACTCAGGGATCCTTTTCATGTGCATTTTGCATATAAATGCACTTTCATATGTGTTTTGATTTCTTTCCAAACTGAACACCTTTGGAGTCACAGGGCTGTGCCAAATTCAGCACATCCAAAGCCTATAAGCACGAGCATAACATAGGGAACTGGAGAAACTGTTATTAAAGGATTTCAGTATTTACTACTAATGCTGTGTAAGAATTGAATTCAGCCAAAATAGGAAAGGGAAGAGAACAAAACAGTGAACTTACTGGATCCTAAGTTCTAGCCTGGAAAACTTGACTTTTAACAGCTTTCCTCTGAAACTCGTTCAATTTTATGCTGTACGTCCTCTAATCTCTATTCCACATCTTCCCTCTTCCCACCTCAATAATGAATTTATCAAATTTCTTGAGTAAAGTCTGGAATAGCCCCTACAGTACAACTTGGCACCAAAAGGGTTTTGTGTGCTGTTGCTATTTTCCTGAGATGCTCCATATGTAGAAAAAGAGCTTGGAAGAGGTTCTGTCAAGCTAAATTCAGTATTACCAAAACTCTTCTAATATCATGTTTTAAAACTTTTTTTTTTTTTTTTGGTAAGAAAAGCCTTCTGTTATGAAATTGCCATGAGATTCTAAGACAGAGTTGTGAGTACAATAGGTATCAGGTTTAAAGAGCTGAACATAAATGATACAAAGGAAAGCACTATTATCTCTACGCACAAATATATGCACACATAAGCATATACGTAGATGTGTGAGTGTGCGTACCTGTATTTATCTGCATACATATATGTGTTTGTATACATGCCTCCCTCATCCTACTGTCAGTGGCAGAAGGCAATGTTAAAGACTATTTCAAAACAAAACAAATTGCCTGCTGGCATTTCCATTTTCAAAATGTTTCAGTAAATTGTTTTCTTAAGAGTAACATCATTTCCATCTCACTTAATCATTACTCTTCTAAACAATGTTTCCCTTTTTAAAATGCACTCTTTTTTACTACGAAGTTTTGCTGATTTATAAACTTCACTGTCCCTAAAGTAGTA